TCATTATTAATATAATAAATTAATTATGACATCCCATACCAGCTCCCCATCCGCTCACTGATCCATATATTCAATGCTTTCATTTACTTTCACTTATACTTCACATTGAAATACAATTGCATTCTTATAGCAAATTAATATTTATGAATAATATGAGAGAATATTTTAATATCTATATAAAAATAATATGAATTTATAATTAAAATACTAATTTCAAGAATTTACTTTTGATTTTAGTTATCCCTGCTTTTAAAGTAGAAAATATTAAAATATATTTAATTTTTCAAATTGTATATTATTAAAACAATTAAAACATACGAAATGTAATCATATTTATCACTACTAATAATGACACAGATTTCGCAATGAATTACAAGTATTTTTGTATGAAAACACGGTGTGATTATAGCCAGCATTTGGAGTGCACTCTCACTATCACTGTATGGATGTATGGATGAGGAGGTCAAGGCATATATGGGTGCGCTATATATACCACAAATAAATTAAAAATATTTTTTATACTTGAATTAATTGCTTCATATGACGATTCACACACATATTATGTTAATTGTATTTATAAAAACACTTACAATCATAAAACTCTAAACAATTTTTAGAGTATATAATAGTTTGCAAAACATTGTTTCAAAACACAAACTATTTTATGTATTAATACAACACATCTAGTAATCAGTGATTTACTTGTATATCAACAGTGAGAACAATGTCTAAGTTTACGGATAACTACTGTTCCCTATTAGCCATCATATGCTTATGCACGCTATACGTACCGGTGCTGATGGAGAAGGACTCGGACTCGGAATCCCTGTGCGGACTCAAGAAGATCGTGAGGACACCTAAAATAATCAACGGTAAGGACGCCTATCACGGACAGTACCCGTGGGCGGTGTCCCTACGCCTCCACCGGCGCCACCATTGCGGCGGTGCTCTCATCGACCATAACTGGGTGCTGACGGCCGCCCACTGCGTCGCTCAGATCAGTCACCGGGTGTTTACCGTCAAACTGGGCGGACACTACCGGAACACCGAGTTTGAGACGACATCGGTGGAGGTGCCGGTGAGTCGGGTGGTGCCGCACGAGTCGTTCAGCTTCTCCAGCTTTGCCAACGACATAGCGTTAGTCCGATTGGCCAAGACTGTCGACTATAACAACTATATATGGCCCGTATGTCTGCCCCAGACGGACGCCACCGATTATGCCAACCAGACAGGGGTTGTCATCGGTTGGGGTAAGATATCTACGGCCGGTGTGTCCGCCTCTAGCCTACAACAAGTGGAACTGCCTATTATTGATAATCAGAAGTGTATTAAGTGGTACGAGTCCCAGGGCAAAGTCATCCCGATCAGGTATGTATTCAATCGGTATTTGATATAAGCTGTAAATTTGATTAAAATTTTAAATAAGCTTAATATTGGAGTAGCTATTGTAGTACATTGGATAGATATGTATCTAACAAACCTAGCTAATTTTGAACACAATTAATAAACTACTGTATAGTTACTATACTATTAAAAATATTTCAATACTTAGTCAGTAATATTAAATAATATTTTTGTATTCAAAGGAAATACACAAATAACTTATAATTCTTGAGTTCTTATACAAAATTCTTGAATCAAATTCTTGTGTCTAATTCACAGATCGAGTCAATTCTGTGCGGGACTGGAGGAGGGAGGGAAGGACGCCTGTCAGGGGGACTCGGGCTCACCCATGATGAGAGTGGATCAGACCAATGGTCAGGCGCAGGCCATAGGCATCGTGAGCGCCGGCATTGGGTGCGCACTGCCTAAACTGCCCGGCCTTTACACCAGAGTTGCCTCATACCTGCCGTGGATTCAGAAAATATTGGCCACAACTCCGGCCGACAAACTGCCGCCACTGGTGCCCGATGTCAGCAAAATTTTCAACACTACCGGCGCTATACATACGGTGCCCGCCGGTAACGGCAGTATTATCATAATTAGTTTGCAGAATCTGACACATCCTAACACACCGGCACCGGTGGTCACCACGACATCACTGCCCACTAATAACAGTGCAACTAATGTATAGATTTTGAAACTAATGATATTTCATAAAATATTTTAAATACTTTTTTACAAATAAAATTCTTTATTTAATGTTAATTTCAAATTCATATAAATTTGTTATAAAAAGCAATTAGGTGAAAATAAAATCAAAATAAGTTTATTAGAGTTGTAATTATAATTGTGAACAGAAAGTTAAAATTTTACTGAAAACAATTGCAGGGTAAGTAAAAAAGTAAAACCTTAAAAAGTCTATCTAAATCCAAAATAATATAGTACTACAAATGCCCCAGATGGTATTAAATCTCGTTTTATATGAGACAAAAGTTTACAAAAACGTCAAGCTAAATTAAATTGAATTAAAATGAAGTTGTTATGTTAAATTCTTTATTAAATATAAATTTTACCAAATATTTATTAGAATTATTTTTAAAAACAAATTTATGTTATTTAGTTGGAGTTACAAATATTTACATTATCTTGATCGTTTTTCAATAGAAAATACATAGAAAATACCATAATTGTCATGCTGATATTCGCGGCAATCTTACTCCAATTATTTTCCCACTTAATATCGATCGTTTGATATTTGCTTGTTACTATCAACGTAGTAGTACCGCTAATCAGAATCACGGTAAATATTATGGTACGTAAAACCTGAAACACCAAGGCCTGTCACATTAAATTGTGGACCACGTGTGAAACGCAAACCAAACACTTTGGTCAACACTTTATGCCAATCCAATGGACGCGCCACTGAGTACTCGCATATACAGTGACTGACCCGGGACTCAATGGGCCAGACGTGCATCTCATGTGCCAATATAGTGGTGTTGTCCCGGGCAGTATCCTCATTAATTACTAATATAAACATAGATGACATTGCTAACAAAGTGCACACAAACACAGAGCATAATAGTATTCGGGAAATTTTGTCACATAATGTTACCATAATAACTTTATGATAGATAAATACTATTGTATATTATGAATAATTTAATTGAATTAAACAATGAAAGTGTTGTAGAGATATGCGAAATGATCAATTGAAGTTGTCATTTGCTTTTATAACATATTTAAAGGTCTAGTTTCACTTAAAGTGATTTAGACTTAATATGAAAGTTGTTATCAAGTAAACAACTATATCTGACTCCGAGTCAAAAAACAGTTAAACATCTTATGAACCACTTCTGTGTTATTCGAGTGTTTGTATATTTAG